GGAGAGGGGAAACCCGGCAAATAATGGCATAATGGTAATGGCCCGCCCGCCCGCATCAACTTTAGGTGAAGCTCCGGATGAGAAACTAATATACAACAAATAGTGGCCCAAATGAAAATTTCAAAAATATGGCGGTCTGATCGAATGACGCTATCCCAGGAAGCTTTGCGCATGTTGTTAGAAAAATTAGGCACCAGGCTGTCAAACCGCGCTCACCGTAAGAATTTAATTAATTTGTGGCAAATTATAAACGTAAGTAGGGCAAAATTGGAGGAAATAACTTGAAATATGCAATATTGTAGTTGAAAATAAAATAATTATGTAAAAGTAACGAGGAATTTTGACATAAAGGAAATGTTTTTTCTTCGACCCCTCTCCCCACCCGCACCTCACCCAACCCCCATTAACAACAATTTTGGAAAAGTTTACACAGACATTTTTCATTATAGTCAGAGAAAAGTCAGGTAAATTTCCTTCCTCCCTAATTTGTTTCTCTCCTGTGGGCTCATGTACCAAAACACCTACCTCCACAAGCACTATAAACTTTGGTAAATATTGTTTCCATAAACTCATGCAGAATTTAAAATTAACTCAAATTTTGAAATTTTGACCAGTTAAATAAATGTAATATTTTGACCAATTGATATTAATTAAAAGTCAAAAAAAAATTTAATTGCGACCTAAAAAGTGGTTGTTTCAACCAATTAGTTTTTACAATGAGGTAACTGGATTAGGTATGATCCTTTACGGAATATAGTGGTGAAGTCAGCCCGACAATTTGTTCATGCTACGTAAATAAATATTTCCGTGAAAACAATACATTTCTAAAGAAATGAATATATGATATTTATTTAAAATTTGCATAGCATGATCAAATTGTTGGGATGCCTTGGGCACAGGGCCACAGGCACTGCTTTATAGTTATAGAACCTAAAGTGTATCTTTAAAAAAAAACTATAACAAAACTATAGTTTTCAAAACTTTAGTTATGAAACTGAAATATATGCTAGTGGTAAAACTATAGTCATCTAAACTCAACTATAATTTTCAAAAAACTATACTTCCATTTGGATAGAAAACTGTAGTTTATTGGAAAAAAACTATAGTTATTTTGAAGTTAACTATCGGTTTTTTTTTGGAAACTATAGTATTATACCAAACTATAGTTTTTTACCTAAAACTATAGCTTTTCTTATAGTTTTCATAAAACTGTAGTCCTTTATTAATTATATACATGAAACTAAACTATATATACCAGTGGTAGAAAACAATAGTTTTCAAAAAACTATAGTTCCCTTGAGTTATATATACTAGTGGTAGAAAACACTAGTTTCAAAAAACTATAGCGAGTTATAAAACTATAGCTTGTTGCAGACAAACTATAGTTATTTTGAAGTTAACTATAGTTTTCTTTTTGCAAACTATAGTTTTCCACCAAAAACTATAGTTTTCGACCAAAAACTATAGTTTTTCTCAAAAAAACTATAGTTTTTGGGCGAAAAATATAGTTTATTTTTGTAAGGGCTGTACCGTGCGCCGGATATTTCCGCCCCTCTTGGCAGATCTGACCATAATACTATCATGTGGTCTGCAGACTCCAGTTGTGCTAATAATCGAGTCAGGTCGAGCGCAACAAAATGTTATGTGCGTCGCTTCACACAATCATCATGTGAGGCTTTTGGTAGGTGATGCAGTACTCATGAGTGGTTCACAGACATCCAGGAACCCGTCAGTGCTACTAACCTGACTGTGTCTCTCACTACCGAGCTTCATTCACCTATCGATCAGCTCTTTCCGACCAAATTAATCAAAATCCACGATACTGACAAACCGTGGATGTCACCTATCCTGAAGCAACTTATCATGAAGAGACAAAGAACCTTCCATAGCGGCGATGAAGCGTTATGGCGTCATTATATGAACAAAGTACAATATGAGATTCGTTCACGGAAACACACTTATTATGTTAAAATAAGGTCCAACACCTAAAATCTTCTAATCCTAAGAAATGGTGGGACTGTGTCAAACAAATGTCTGGGAAAAAGAAGGCGTCATCTATGCCTATTAATATTATCAAGGACGGCGTTGCTCTTTCCGGGACCAACCTTGCTAATGTAGTAAACGACCATTTCCTGTCTATCAATGCTGATCTTCCACCCCTCGATCTTTGTTCCTACCAGCTTACTTACCCGTTCCTCAGCCGGTTCCAATAATTACATCTATTGAGGTCTGTCATAAACTCCTCAAAGTCAAGCCTTTTAAATCGCATGGCCTGGACGGTATTCCTAACCGCGTAATTAAAGAATTTGCATACGAACTAGCTGAACCAGTGTTTATCATCTTTAATGAGTCCTTATCTTCAAGCATAGTCCCATCTGATTGGAAGGGCGCTAGCATAACTCCTATCCCTAAACTCAGTCTGTATGTTGTGAGGACGAACTCCGTCCCATCGCTCTTACCCCATGCTTATCCAAGATCGTCGAAGACTTCGTCGTAAGATGGATGATGGATGATATCAGAAGCAAAATAGACCCCGTGCAGTTTGGCAATCTAAAGGGATCATTCGCAAGTTTTTGTTTGATTGATATGGTGAATAATTGGCTGAGTACCCTTGACGTCCCCACGCACTATCTTAGAGTATGCTTTTTAGACTTCAGTAAGGCGTTTGACCGGATAAATCACAACATCCTCATTGGAAAACTCATATTTCTTGGCGTTAGAAGATGCATTATTCCATGTATCTGTGACTTTCTTTCTAATCGTCGTCAACTAGTTAAAATTGGTGGTTTTCAGTCAGCATGGGGAAGTGTTAACAGAGGTGTCCCACAAGAAACTAAGCTGGGATCGATATTATTTCTTGTTATGATTAACGATCTAGAACTAAAGTCTCCACATACAAGTCACTGGAAATATGTTGACGATCTTACTCTTTCTGAATCTCTATCCATACGTGACCAATCGACATTACAATCTGACCTAGATGAAATACAACAATGGGCAGAGCAGAATGACATGCGTTTGAATGTTAAGAAATGCAAAAAAATGGTGATCAGCTTTTTAAGGCAAAGTCCAAACATTGTCTCCCTGCATATCAACGGGAATCCACTCAGTATCGTATCATCATTTAAAGTACTTGGTGTCACCTTTAACGACCATCTGAAGTGGAATGATAACGTCAACATTCTCGTGAAGAAAGCTTCTAAGCGCCTGCACATTTTGCGCATATTGCGAAGAAGTGGCATTCCATCGGCTGACCAGCTGCCAGTTTTCCTTGCCCTGGTACGTTCAGTTCTAGAGTACGCATGCACAGTTTGGCATACGAGCCTCCCCGATTATCTTTCAAACAAGATTGAACATGTTCAGAAGCGTGCCTTGCGTGTATTATACCCAGGTCTGCATTATATCGACGCACTCCAAATAACCCAAATCCCACGCTTAGACACTAGGAGACACGATTTGTGTACGAAAACGTTTGAGAAGATTGCTAAACCCAACAACCGATTGAATCACCTTCTGGCAACAACACGAGTGGCCGCGCACGGACGGAAAGTTGCGTAATAAGGACTGTTTGTCCAGGCCGAAGTGTCGTACTAATAGATACAAAAATAGTCTTATTCCAGCAATGTGCTTTGATTTAAGGAATAAACTTCAGTGATAGTCTAATCAGTTGTATAATATATAGATTTTAGTTATATATTGTATATATAGATTTTAATATTTTAGATAATTTATTGAATTTATCTAATCATATCAAAGTTCATTGTATTAATGCCAAGATATGTGAATAAACCATTTATTATTATTATTATTATTATTATTATTATTATTACGACCAGACCTTCTATTGACAATTGAAAATAAGATTTTGTATTCGAAACAAACCTGAAAACTAACTCAGATCGAAAACATGAAAAATATTTGACTCTAATTACCGATCAAGAAAATATATATGATGAAGTTAAGTTTGTTAATGTATCTATAAGCTCTTTAGGTGTATTTGGTGAATCGACGAATAGATCATTTGATATGCTCCATGATCAGAAGTACGACGAACAATGCATTAAATATGTAAAAAAGAAAATAATTGCTACTTGTATTCGCACGTCGTATTATATATTCTGTAGACGAAACAAATACTGGAACAACCCAGAACTTTTAAACTTTTAACTAAATTTAAAAGATTTTCACCTGTATATATATTTTAGCTTTATATTCAATTCCAGTGGACATCGATAGGCTACCTTTTATTAAGTGAGGTTTATCAATGTATATATAGTATATCGTAAATATCTAATAAAAAGTTTCCATTGTTATATGGGGGAGGGGGATTAAACTATATACTGAGAGGACCATATGCTTCAATAATCAACTGACGAAACAATCGTAACCGATGCTTCTCTCCTGGGTTGGCGTGCTGATCCCTTGCACTGGGGGAAGATGGTCTCTACAGGAGAGGTTATATATAAATCACATAACTATCTAGAACTACTTGCAGGGTCCCTAGCAGGGGCGGCGGAACAGGGGGGCTAGGGGGGCTAAAGCCCCCCCCAGAAGTAAAAGTGGGGGGGCTTAGCCCCCCCAGAAAATTTGAATTTTTGGAAAACATTTTGATAATTAGGGAAAAATTTAGGTTATTTTTTGAAAATTTAGGTATAAGGGGACAAATTTGCAATATTTTGTTTGAAAAAGACCTATTTCCGGAAAAATTTTTTGATATAAGTCCGGAAAAATTTTTTTCGTCCCTTTTTTGTTATATTGTACCCCTAAAGTGGTACACAGACCGAAATTTTTTTGGCGACGGGGGGGGGAGGTCGCCGAAAAAATTTAGCCCCCCCAGAACGAAATCTGTTCCGCCGCCCCTGGTCCCTAGCAGTCAAGTGTTTTACAAAGTCCAAGGTAAAGGCCCAAGTGCTTCTGCTAATGGACAATATCACAGCAGTAACCTATATAAACAAGATGGGAGGCACTCACTCTCGCCTCTGTCCCAGCTAGACAAGAACCTATGGGGCTGGTGTCTGAGTCATAATGTACTAGCTATATAGTAACAGCACCATGCATTCCAGTAATACAATTAATCGATTCCAGTGATTGAAAACTGAAAAAATAATAATATAAAAATAATCGTGTTTCCACACAATTTCTCGTTTTCCCAATTTCCACTCGTGTTGATATTTAACAATTATTTGCCGAAGGCGAGGTGATTATCGGGGAATTAATATTCGCCGAGACGAAGTCGAGGTGAATATCCCCTGATAATCACCGAGCCTGAGGCGAATAATTGTTTTAGTATGAAGTCTTTTGTGTTTTTTTTTGGGACTGAATTTATCTTAATTTCGCCTATTTTTTATCAGTAACTTCCACAAAACGGCTATAGCTGCCATTTTGAAAATTTCGGTTTTGTTTTATACTTTTTACATATTCACCATGAACATATTTTATAAAGTAAGAAACAATAATATGATAGTTACTTTACAGAGTTATGATACTTTATAAATATCTTGTGATTAATTATGAAGGCAATGAGCGACTGCACTAATACGAGCAAATATTATCTCACGTCCCAGTTTAGGCATAATGACAAAAGTGACAAAGTGCAAATTATTGCATATTGTTTCCTTTAAATGTCTCTATATGTTTCTCACCGACTCACCATTCCTTGCTTGGCCACACCTAGCTTCGCGCGTAATTTCACAACGTGCGTTTTGATTGGTCAAGTGTGGTCAGTAGTCTATGTTACATACTGTAATCATAATAACTATAATATAAGTCTTGACATTAGTTGACGTTAGTTTCTGCTTGATCATATCCACTATTTGACAAAGCCATGCTTTGTAGAACAGAATCATTCTGTGAAGATTTTTCAATAGTTCCATTATCTTTATCACATGCAGATTGATTTTCATCTTTGGTGGACATTGTATCGGTATTCACGCGTACGCTTCCTTTACTGCAGTTCATATCATTCAAATGAAGGTGAAAATTATGTATGCGGTTTCCGATTCCATTTGTAGCAAAAAGAGCTTTCAGGGATTTTCTATATAGTGGTAGCCGCCAGGCGTAAATCATACTATTGATCGTCACACGAATACTTGATAATATTGGGTAGTATTGCCAAAATGATTGGAAAGTATGATTTAGAAAACATTTGTCACATTTTGCAACATTAAAACAAAACGCTACGAAATAAGGAATTATGAAAATTATTAGGCAAATTGATACCACTAATACAGTAGTTGCCAGCACTTTAGCGACTTTGAGATTTTCTTCCAATAATTGTTTATGATTAGAGCTTGAGTTTCGCAAATCTTTTATTCTTCGTAAAAACACCCAATGTGTATAGGGATGTACAGTTAAGGTAACGAACGATAACGCAATAAAATTGCCTGCAAGCGTTCTGGTCAGCAACTCATGATCATCATCAGTAAGTGAAGCAAAATACATAACTGGTAGGGTGATGATTGCAAAGCACCATGGTAGAATTGTTGCGGTGACTACAATATATTTCTTTCTCACAATGTTTTTGTATGAATAGGCATGTACGATAGCCACATAACGATCTAAAGAAAATACCATGATCATTAGTAGGGAACATTGTATACCAATACCATCAATACACACAGCAAGTCTTTGATTTTCCTGTATGTGACCAGTTCTTGGATCTTGTGGATTTAACTGTATTGCTGCTTCAGTAATTCCGCTGGCGGTGGACAGTAGATCAGCCAAAGTAAGGTTGATGATGAAATAGGAAGTTGAATTACGAAAACGTTTTAACGGATCTTTATACAGAACAAAGAGAAGGAGACAATTTCCAACGCTGGCCACAAAATAAAACAGGAATTGAAATACACTTTCCACCGTTTTGACACGTGCTGAAAAACTGAAATCGCTTGAACAGTTTTCAAATATCTTGAAGTCATCTGGCGAAAATGAATAGTTGGAGTTGTTAAATGCGACATTACACGGATCATTCATCCTCTATAGGTTCCTGTTGCATAGAAATAAAAGTTATTGGCATAATGTAAGTCTTTCATATTAACAATAATGATTTTATTAGGAGTAAAACGGAACAAGCTAAATGTCTCGGCATGTAGTAAAACACTAACTACCGGAACAACGGAACACCACCGGAACAGCTAAACAAAATCCAAAATGGCGGCAAATTATGAAGAGCCGTATAATATACTAGAAAATACATGCATGCAGAAACCCTCGCCTTGCTGACAAAACCGTTGTATTTTCCGGACATGAAGTATCTAAAGTAGTTGTCATGGTAACACGATAATTTTTTAAGAATATTCTTACAAATGAAAATCGCCTAAAAATATCACTTTTAATTACAAAATTATCAATTTCCCAACATATTTATGTTAGGTATGTAATTATACGTATACAAGCTTCAATTTAAGGTAAAATTCAACCACAACCAATTCACAAAACGTTTTAAAGTGTTCTTTATAAAACTAAACTGCCTTTAACTATTAAATGGCTTTATCGATAAACTTTGAGTTTTGCAATAAAATGATTTCAAATTCTCGCTTGCAAATAACTTTGCTTTATTTTTATTTAAAAAATTCAATATAATAAAAAAGGGAATCAATATTAAAGATAAACTGAAATTATATGCTGTCTTGTTTAGTTGTTTCATATACGCAAAGGCCGTTGGGTTTTAAAGCCATTATAAAATCAATATTCAAAACAAACTTACCTTTGTTAACGTCGGCTCCCTTCTTTTAGCTGATTCTTTCACCCTTTCTTTCTTGAAATTTACAAAATCTTGCAGAAATACGAGCAAAAATGAAGAATATTTGCAAGAAATTTATCAATCATCAACTCATCAAATCAAGAAATGTCAAATGTTTGCTATTTCGCTGTCGTCATGCAGCCGTTATAATGCAAACTTTAAATTGGACCAATCAGTGTCCGCTTTTAATGACAGTCCGCCATATTTTTGAGATCAGTGAGGATGACCCAGTGAACTCTAATAATAACTGGAAGGCTAAGTCAGGGGGGGAAGTTGAAGCCGTGCTTGAAGCTTTTTTTGTAGGTAGACCCAGTCCTTTTTAATTTTTTTTTTCAAAATATGCACATTTTTTGATCAGAAAAATCTTGCCCCAAAATATTAGTTATATTACCAAATTTAATTTATATCAGTAGTATGATAAATGAATTTAATATTCGAAAAGCAAACAAATCAC